ATGGAGGCCTTCGAAAATTCACCCAACTTTATACCTTGCAAAATGCCTGCGTAAAGCAGCCGAAACATCTGTACTGCTAAATTATTCGATTTAATAAATTTCCAAATATAAATAAATGATAACACATGCTACACGTTGCGCTTTAATCATATGAGATTGTCGGCTATTCACTTTGTAAAGACTATTCGTACTCCTAAGAGGTATTCGCCTACAACAGCGTGGACACGTCTCTCGCCATTCTCGGATGACCACACTAAACCATCGCGCAGTTCCTGTTGCTCGCACATCAGGGTCTTGATGCTCGTTAGTAGACTGGTTGCATCAAAGTAACGTAGCATTAATTTGTTACTCAACTGAATTTGTTGCTAAGGAATTTTTTCTTTCATGGGACTATCGCTAGACACCTTCGAAGTTCGAGGCCAACTATTTGCCCCCGTAGTACCGTGCTCAAACACGCTTAGTCAATAGAACATCAATATACTGGAAACTTATTTACAGAAATTACCAGCAAATTACAACAGCGTTCACAAAGAAAGTACAGACATTAAATGAGAAAGGCGGAAACAACGGAAAGCGGAGACAACTGCAAAAGTGTCAGAATGATCCAGCCTGAGAACCTACCAGCACGTAGCCCTAAACGCCTCGCGTGCGCGCTTCGCTGTGGTCGTCGTTTGGCAGCATTTAACCGTCTACCTTTCAAGAGAACAGTCACTTTTCGCTTTATGGAGAAGTTCTGTTTTATCACTGTTATAGTGATTTCTTCGCCGCAAGCCTAAGGTCAAAATAAAAAAACATCTGCATACAGCTAAGGCCTAAAGCGATGCGGTTCTTATCATTTGATATAACACAAGAACTAATTTGGATGATACTTGAATTCTTTACGCGGGTAGAAAGTTCTTCATTTTCTACTCTTCAGAAGGTTTGCACTCTATGCGAATTTTAGTACATGAATTCCCGACGTTTCGAATCTGATTGAATCCATCTGCAGGGGCATAATACAAAGAACTAGACGACACACGTCAAGCACACTCGGATAAAGTTCTCCATGTCACTGTGTACTGCGAAGTGATCACAAGTACGATAGACAAATTGTTAATGCATACTACAGATCAACGAAATATGTTTATTTGTAAATCAGCTTTGGTTTTTCTCGCTAAGTCCTATATTGCATTCTTGCAGACTAATGACACGTCTTTGCGGTTGTCTCTGTTAAGACATTCGCATGCCTGTGTCATTGGTATTTCTTCTATCCTACGCTTTCTGTAGTCTCTTTCGCGCCATACAACTTTCATGTTTATCCAGTCGACAGTGTGACCCTCTTTCTCAGTGTGTTCGATCAATGCAGATTTTTTTCATATTCTTTCGTTAGTTCAACTTCGCTTTGCTATTGCCTGGGATCTCATGCATCGACATTTCTCCATTTTGTGAGATATGAATGATGACTTTTCTTCATATCTTCTTGTCTGTTACTGGCTTCCTAAACATAAATGATTCCACATTCGAAGAGTATAGTATAGATCCATCGGTGTCTTTCTTTCCATTTCGATGACTTATACGCGGGTGAGCTGGTAGCAAGGCGTAACGTCAGACTGGAGGAACAGTCGTACACCATGCTTCGAGGATTACCTTCGTAGTTTCTCCTTGAGACCAGGTACTTAAGGAATGATGACTTTTGGGAAGTTGGTTTCCGACTTATTGGCAGATTTTGCTTCGTTCCATCGTTTCCGTTCCCGCGTTTTATCGACTTCGTATATGAGCTTAATTAGATTGCAAACCTCTTTAAGCTGATAAAAGCGAAGACTTGTCATTGATCTGGAAGAACGCATTAAAAACTTTTACCAGGAAGATCGAAGCTAATTTACGAATAAACTTGCAACGTTTGAATG